GATCAAATTAACACGCAATATATGCCTGATATGTAAGTTTGTATTGTAAAACAACATTGCTACCTCTGTTACAGAGTGCTTAAAGGGCTGACCAATTATGTCCTGAAAATTGTTTTAATTTACTTTATTTGAAAGTCACATACGTGATGAATTAATCATTTTGATTTTGTCTCTACATATACCTTTTTACAACATCAACATTTTTTTTTTAACATTGAGTTGATCTATCAATGAAGATGTATTATAGGGATTTTGTTATTTGTTTTGTGTTTTGTTTTTTCTCACGTTTATCTTACGTCTTTTTTTTATTTATATCTATAATTCGACTAAATGTGTCTAAAAAAATATAAAATATATAATTCCAACTTAAAAATCCGTCCAAAATACCAAGGGGACAAACAATACTCTGTCCTAACACTCAAAGGTACCACACTACAACATCCGCTGTCAGTAATGTAGACCATGCCTGTCTAAAGTATGTCCTTGCATTACATTAAAAGCATGACACTTTTGATAATTTAGACCTGCTGATCAAGTTAACCGGTACAATGGCAACATTTTTCCATTAACAATATACCATACAGCAGTATGACAACAGAGAACTGATTACCTTGGTGTACGTTTTGCATGCTATTCGGATGATGTAAAACTAAAAAAAAGGATTTAAAGAATAAGTTATCAGTCTAGCATAAATAGTTTGTATTGAATATATCTTCGTAGTTTTTGCCTTCTTTCATATCTAACCAACATCTGCATACATTGTATATTGGCAATTAGCAAATACAATAAATAGGACAATTACCAATGCACATAATTGTTATGGTTAGGCTCATCTTGCCCTTTGGGACTAACTCAATTCTGAATTTAAAAACAAAGGCAAAAATGAAAAACACATAACAACAAAAAAATCCAAGTGAACTTCAATTGCTCAAGAATGTTGAAATCTTAGGTTTCATAACAAAATGTATTACACCCATAGTATTTTAACAATTGTTTCATTCGTTTGACAATTTCAGCTTTTGATTTGGCAATTTGATTGGGCAATTTCCGTTTTGAATTTTCCTTAGAGGTCTGAGTTTTGGCATTTTACTTTCTACCTGTCATTTGTACCTTTTTCTTTCTTTTCTTTCTAGAATCGTTGCTGTAAAATTTCCTTATAACACACATAATATTTGACTTATATTGTTAAAATGTTATGTTTTTTGATAAATTTTGATTTGAAATCTCAGATAATGCCTGTTTCTTTGTTGTAGTAATCTATATCATGTTGTTATTAGTACACACTATTAAAACTAAGTATCCCATTTGAAACAGAGAAACCTGGCACCATTTAGCTGTTTTCAAAATTAAAGTATGGGATGGCATCTTTAGACACATTACTGTAATACAACTGAATGTATATCGTATTCATTGATATGCTTACATATATTTATCTAAATTCCGCACAAGTCGATATTACATGTATGACAGATCTATTATCATCATGGGTCATACTGTCACGTTTATATAATGGACTTAACCTATGAACCAGCAAACATGTATCATATCCTTTAATGTGTTTATATGCTACTGCTGTCTAATTGCAATACATAAAGTGGTTCATACATGTTTTTGCTTTTATTTTACGTAATAAAGGTTTACATTTATTTACATAAAACTGATGTTCTATGTGTGTCCTTTAAAATATGTGCTGCAAAACTTCAGTTCGCCAATAAACCATCTCTTTGTAAATTAGTAATATTCCGTAATAGTTAGTCATGGTCACCTGTTTATCTTATCTACTGTTTTGTTGTATTAAAATATATTAGAAGGTCAATCCAGAAAAACTCTTTGGACGCCTAAAATTTATAAAAGTTGTTTTCAGTTTTTTTTTATCCCAACATGCTCAATATTATCAGAGATTGTACATCTTTGACCTGTTCGTAGATTACAAAGATATATGATCGATATTCTTTGGTGTAAAATTTCCTAGGTGAACTTCAGAAAATTGTTATCATCATTTGTCAAGCAAAATTGTCCGTATAACTACAAAAATTTGATAATATGTCTGTTTGTTATACATATTAAAATGCAGATTAATATTTTTATTTATTATTTCAAACCTCAAAATGTATGATGAAAGTTCTATTCCAATTGCCTACAATATATTTGTTTAAAAATTGTTCAACCAACTTCACATAGAGTGTGTTATATTTTAAGTTTCAGCAAATGCATTATTGCATTGTCTAACGGATTGCATCTTTAGGTGAGTTTCAGCAAAAACCAGTTGGGAAGTCTCTGATAACCTCGACCCTTATTAACCTCACCCTCAGTCTATGTGTGCACATTCGACAATACCACCGAGGCAGCGATGAGTTTTATATGATAATAATCGTTTATATATAAAACCATATTGTATAGTTTTTTTTTTGTTATTTGTTTGATGCTATTGATTAACAATTCATTTGTCATACTCCGTTCATTTCCCACATGTTAAATGTTAGGTTGCATTGACAAAATATAATTCACCACTGACAATGAAAAAGTTACGAAAAGTAGATTATCTACCTGATATTAGAATTTTCAAAGAAAAGTTAAATGAAAAATATAGGCATTTTAGTTCATATCAGTATGAAATAGAGACTCGTAGAAGAGTATATCATAAACAATACCATGTGTCTGCACCAAATGCGCATTTTGACATTTAAACTATTAAACTGGACATCAAAAGGGTCCCTGTCTTCCCTTTATTAATTTTTCATTATTCATCTGACCTTTGGTTTGAGATGAATCTAAGATTTTTTTTCGTGGAAGACCTTCTATTAACAGTCAGAAAGAATAACATTAATAATTAGATATAACAAGATGTGGTATGAGTGCCAATGATACACTCTCCATCCAAGTCACAATTTATAAGTCTGTTAAAGGTTAAGTTAGTTTTTGAGGTGAATGCCGACATTTTTTTGCTATTTAAAGAATATTACCATGAAAGATTAAATGAAAAATACTTGAACATATACGATTTGTGCATGTTGATTTACATTTAGGAATGATGTCCTTGTACCGATGATAAAATTTAGTAAATGTTTTGACTAGTTTGTGGTAGCGAAAACTCTAGTGTAATACATTTTCAGTAATACATAGATTTCTTTCTTTCAAATCAAAAACGTTGTGACATACACGAGCGAATAGAACAAGTTGAGATATATAAACACCATAAGAAGGTGACAGGGGGCAATTACCGTCTTGAAATGGATAATGGATAAAATAGGAAATAACAAATCATCTCTTTTATCATAAATATTGGATATTAAGCTTCTCGTTAAAGATATAGATATCAAGATCCAGGAAAGAGCAGTATTCATTGTTAGTATTAGCTTCATTTAAAGTCAGTACAGCAGGAAAAATCTCTTTTAGTGTACATTCAGAAGTCGTCATTATTAAGAGCCAATATATCATCCACATATCTAAAAGTGTTATTACATTTGTATCAAATATTGTTTCGATTGGTCTTTGCTGATTTTAGTCTTAAATTGTAATTCATAACAATACAGAAACAGGTCCACTATAAGTAGAGCACAGTTATTCCCCATAGGAATTCCGATAACTTCCGATAAACGGAATCTCCAAAGCAAACAAAAACGTTATCTAATAAATTCACGGGCAGCTATAGTATCAAACCAAATCCAAATGACATAGATCTTTTGTTTGTTGTTACTATATGTACTAAACAATGACTAAAAAGAGTTTGAACATATATTCACATTCTCATTTAATTTGGTGTTTGAATTTTATATCTTTTAATAAGAATATGAGGAAAAGTGATATATAGGATAGAAAAATCAAAACTTTGAACATATTCAAAATCACCAATATAAGCATGCAATTTATCATATACGTTCTAACGACTAACGAGTACCACAATTGACAGGTGTTGTTTTATGTATAGCAGATGTATCGAATAAATCAACCATGTAGTACTGTATTACAGACATTGATAGTAACTAAAATAGCCGATACATTACTTAATTTGAATGACACTGGGTCACATTAATAAATACTTTCAACGAATTTTGACGCTCCAAAAGTAATTATTTCGACTATTTTCAAAGGCCTGACGGGATGCATAAATACAGAGTCACGTCAAATGGATATCGCCAAAAACAGACTAAACAGCAAAAGTAATGATCATAGAGACCATAAAAAAGAATACTATAACACATTATTAAGATAAACAACATCAGTGCGCAGAATCTTTACTTTAAGACCATCGCGTATTATTTGTGAAATTGGTACGGAATATTTATCAACAAGGTCTTGATACCTTCCGATAAACTTATTTTTAGAAAAAAAGACGAGACGATCTTTGACATAGCACTGGTTCATCAAATTTCTGCTCAGACACTGGAGACGTTTTACAAAGTCTGAGTAGGAGCTGGTAGCTCTAGAATACCAAATAAGTTGGGAAATGTATATCCCATATACAGGTGAAGTTGGTATATTGCTACTAAGGCTGAGGAAGTTAACACATACATCCTTTTTTAAATTAAAAGATAAATTCAAAATAGAACGACAGTTCGGCTCGAGCATCTTACCCTTCCAGTTTTAAGAAAAGATTTGCCGACTAACGAGTACCACACTTGGTAGGTGATGCTTTATGTACAGCAGGTGTATCTAATGAAACAACCTTGTAGTACAGACATCGATGGTATCTAAAATAGCCGATACATTACTTAATTCATATGAAACTGGGTCACATTATAAGTATCAAGAATCAATTACAGGTGCGTTCTAATTGATTTTAGTTGTTTTATGTTATTGTTGTTTAATTTAGTAAACACAGAAAGATTAATTTGCTCCCTTATTAGATGTTATGTTATAAACGAAAGAGATTTTGGGCATAGGCCAAAAAGGTGCCACATACAGACATGTATTTCAAGCCACCCAAGAATGCAAAATATTGCGTCTTCAAACATTGCTCATCTTTAACATCAACAATAATTTGACTAAGAAAAAACAAATCAAATTGCAATTATTTTATTTTGAACATTTCCGCTGTTTCTTTTCTGTTTTTCTCAAATCGCTTATGGTACGACTGAAAACAAAAATAAATGCATCATTATTTAAAACAAAATGTATGAAACAGTAACTTTCACGTAATGCTATTCCTGTTCTAAATTGATTCATTTGTATAGCTTTTAAGAAATGAAAAAATTTAAATAAACCAATGTACATTAAACAAACATATTTGGTTTATATGTAGGGGAAAGCGATTGCTGCAATGTGTTTACTGATATATAGAATGTTGATAATTTACCTAGATATATCGAGTTTCTCGTGTTACCTTCGCACATTCGTTGAGATTCTCCAGCACAAGCCATGTTACAGTCTGAGTCTGCTACTTTTTGATACCTTTTGCTTTTTAGTATATTTCCACACATACAGAATGTACTATACTGAAAAAGTAAAACAAAAAGTAAATTCTGAACAAAATGATTTAAATATGCTATAAACAAATAACATGTATCAAAATGCTGGAACGAATAAAAGTATGGAATGGTACACATGGTACATGTATGAACACTTTTTTGTTAACAACTTATCCATAAATAAAAAAAAACGGACTAGTGGTGCGAATTATATATAATCTTTATCACTTTAGTGTTTTTTTTTAATATAACAAATTGATTTTCCTGACGTTTTAGAAATACATATCTTACATATTTTTTTTTCGTTTGAAGCTGAATGCAAGGCACATTTGATTTAACGTAATTTTATGTTTAACTTTCAACAAATGATTTTGAAATCAGTGTCACCTGCATGCCTAAATATTTATATCTTTTGCAATGTTCACTACATTTAGCCAAGGTTATAGACTTCCCCAAGTTCGAAAATCTAGCTTTCAGATGTCTGTAACCGTCATCTGTGTAACATCCAATATATCCTAAAATATCAACAATATAATTTATTTATAGTAATACAATCAAAAGATATTAGAAGACTTGTGTTATTACATTCTGTCGTTTAAAAGCAGTTTTGTTTTTTTTATTAAGGAAATATTACTAAATAATTATACAACGATTTAGAATTAAAAAAAAACAACTTTTCAAAGTTATTATCAGGTTCAATCATATTTAAAATCAATATCATTTGAATATGTATGTGTCACTCTTATTCACAATTTTTCCAAACCTGTTTCTACACGCGGATCCTTTAATTGATCGCGAATTTTCAATGTTATTTCTAACACGATGCATAAAGATGTATCGTCATAGTTAATCTGTCGTATTTAGATTGTGATTAAATAGACAGAATAAATTTGCAAAAAGCTACCTGAGCACATTGTATTCAATAAGCATTAATACAAAATCGTATACATATAAATTAGTTTTGTACGCAATGATTAAAATGTTGTTGATAAACATTATCCTATAACGAATACAAACCTAGATTTCTAGTTGCTTTTTGCAAACCATTGACCACTTTACTAAGATCTGTGAGTGTTGATTCAACTGCAGAAACACCGTTGCTATTACCCCTCGAAGCTGCTATTATTTTGTTCATTTGGTCCCGTTGGGAATCCTTCACTTTTTTAATCGAACTAATGACCGCTTTTCTAAGATCTGTGAGCTTTGATTTAACTGCAGAAACACCGTTGCTATTTTCCTTCGAAGCTGCTATTATTTTGTTCATTTGGTCCTGTTGGGAATCCTTCACTTTTTTAATCGAACTATGGACCGCTTTACTAAGATCTGTGAGCTTTGATTTAACTGCAGAAACACCGTTGCTATTTTCCTTCGAAGCTGCTATTATTTTGTTCATTTGGTCCTGTTGGGAATCCTTCACTTTTTTAATCGAACTATGGACCGCTTTACTAAGATCTGTGAGTTTTGATTTAACTGCAGAAACACCGTTGCTATTTTCCTTCGAAGCTGCTATTATTTTGTTCATTTGGTCCTGTTGGGAATCCTTCACTTTTTTCATTGAACTATTGACCGCTTTACTAAGATCTGTGAGTTTTGATTTAACTGCAGAAACACCGTTACTATTTTCCTTCGAAGCTGCTTTTATTTTGTTAATTTGGTCCTGTTGAGAATCCTTCATTTTTTTAATCGAACTATTGACCGCTTTACTAAGATCTGTGAGTTTTGATTTAACTGCAGAAACACCGTTGCTATTTTTCTTCGAAGCTGCTTTTATTTTGTTCAATTGGTCCTGTTAGGAATCCTTCACTTTTTTAATCGAACCATGGACCGCTTTACTAAGATCTGTGAGCTTTGATTTAACTGCAGAAACGCTGTTGTTATTATACTTTGAATCTGCTATTACTTTATTCAATTGGTCCTGTTGGTCATCCATCACTTTTTTATTCGAACCATGAACGGCTTTACTAAGATCTGTGAGCTTGGATTCAATTACAGAAACGATGTGGCTATTATCCTTCAGATCTGCTTTTATTTTGTTTATTTTGTCCTGTTGGGAATCCATGACCTTTTCAATCGAACCATTGACGGCTTTACTTAGATCTGTGAGCTTGGATTTAATTGCAGAAACGCTGTGGGTATTATCATTCGAAGCTGCTATTATTTTGTTCAATTGGTCCTGTTGGGAATCCATAACTTTGTTAATCGAACCATTGACGGTTTTACTAAGCTCGGTGAGCTGGGATTTAATTGCAGAAACGCTGTGGCTATTATCCTTCGCAGCTTCTTTTATTCTGTTCAATTGGTCCTGTTGGGATTTCATCATTTTTACAATCGATTTTAATTCGAAGATAAAACCTTGTCATCGTTATTATCTAATAAGAAACCACGAATTGGAATCTTATTTGGTGCATTCAAGGATAAACTGACCCCATTTCGTTTATCTAAACTAGTAACTATTACAAATTTCAAGAAAACAACGAGAATTGCTAAGCTCTTCATTCTGTTGATAGATGTTTAAAATATCAGGAAATCACTGTTTTATAATAAAACAACTAATATGCATATGGCATGTAATTGTATTAATTACGAACGCGGCTGTTGCGTGATATGTGATACATGTATTTCTATGTTTGTCGTTTGCATATGGGAGTAAATGTTACATGAAATAAAAGAAAAATATCATACTGAACAGAAAATACATGTAAGAAACTGTCCGCATATTTGAACGTTCTACGATATACAACAGCATTTCATTACGAAAATACATGAGACAAAAATATGTTCAAATACTAAACGGAACAAATCTATAAGTAAGCACCCTCATATACACATTCGGCTAAACAAGCAACCACATTGTTGTATATCACAATTTTTAAACAATTAAAGATAAAAAGAGATAACCATTAATAACTCTATTTTTTTATTGCCGGCATAATTTTTTCTGACTTCATCGAAACAATTAAAAACTTCATTATTTATCCTGCTACTTTATGTTCAGGAGTACCTACAATTGCCTTGTGGTCTTTGTATGGCCAAATACCGTCTGTTGTGTATACGTGCACGTCGCGTTGTTGCTCTTCGATATGTTATTTTCCCTTCGCTAAAACTTACACAGCGCATAAACTACAACTGAAAATTGATTATCGTATTCATTGTCAATTAATACAGTTATTGATTTGTACTTTTCATAATTTATATGTTGTCGAACTATATAAATCTTTTGATAGTAATTGCTCGAAGAAGTTAATAAGAAAACAAGGGGTCAATCAATAGTCGATTAGGACAACCACACAACACCTTTATACATGTATAAAAACATACAGAATGTTTAAAAAATACTGATACTAAAGTTTGAAAAAGATTACACCACAAACAAAAAAACAAAACAGAAGTTTCCTCATAAGCACTGCACGGGTAGTTAGTTTTCGCTCCTGCTTTTCATTCGTCGTTTTTTTTAGTTTGATATCATGTGATTCAAAGGTGTATTTGATAGTTTCTTTTCGATGTATTACATTGTATTATATTTTAGATTTGTTACGGTTAATAGCATGGTATTATATAGTAAGACGTGTCTCTTGTTTAAAGGTTAATCTAGACCTCTCATTTAGTGTTGTCGAGTTGCTGTCGAAATAATGTTCCCACACATATCTCTTTATTTATGAAAGTAAGTAATTAACAGGAGCGAATCCTAGCATGTTGCGTCAACATTATTGTGTAAATTATTGAAATATCAAAATCAATCATGACTTGATTTAATTTCTATTGAAAATGACAACATACCCAATTAAAGCATCTTAATAGACAGTACAATACGAGACAAACAAATAATAAGGGAAAATAAAATGAACGAATTTCACCTAATATTTCAAATAGTCACGCGTCGTCTTAAAGGGGCAATAGCTGTCAAATTCATCCTCATCCATTTGACTCAAATACCTATTCTTGAGTTATAGCATACTAAAACGTATTTCCAAATTATAAAAAGTATAAAATTAACAATTTACGCTGCACGGACTCGAAAATATGTATCAGCATTTCGTGTGTAGTTTAGTCTAATTAACCGTCGAGATGACCTCCGAAGACCGCCTACGGTCATATAGCCCGCTATAAACATAAACATAGAATGATATAAATAGATAGCGAAATGGATTTTTCTAGGTCTGTTTGATTTCATATTATACGTTTAAAACGTGTTAATAATCGTTTTTACCTGTATAGGAATGAATTTTTGTAGATCAAATCAGTCAACTAAATGGTTTACCCTTGTTTCACTTCCAATGTTGACATTCTTTTCTTTTTAATAGCTGAACACGCCTAGTCAATGCATATCCCATCTCTAGCTAAGGGGTTCAATTGAAGTTCTTATGAATACGGATTTAATGAGATCAAATTATTCACTTGCAAGTGAATAATACATTAGCGATGTTTCTTTGCTTATTTTGACAAAACTGAACCAAACTGACTGCTGAAAGCGAATTATCATATCACTATTTCACTTTCATTAATGATTGAACAAAAAACTATATATTTGATTTTTTCTATATCTCGTAGCTAATGCCCCTATAAAAGTTATAAAAGGATTTAACCATGACTGCTTTTTCTGATGTTCCTTACAGTTAAACCAACATGGAATATACTCATATCTGACATATCTAACTAACTTGCCGATTATAATCATGATAGTTATGTTTTAAAAAAAAATGTTATCGCCATGTTTTGAATTTTTGCCTTAAGATTCAATTATCTTCCTTAGCGTAAACAATATCATCACCAGATATATATAACAAACTCCGCCTCAGACTATTTAATGCTTGAACTCATGTGGTTTGATTTGTCATATTCAAATATGCAACAGATAACGAACAGTCAGATGTCGACTTAACATTTTAATGCTCTTTCCATTTTATTCTCGCACCAAGGGCTCGTATCAAAATTCTGATGTATTTTGTTCTAATATTAGTTTTTATATTTTTAAATATAGTTTTCATCTGAACGAAATCCCGGTCTGCAATATATTCTGAATATATACAAAAGAAATAAATTAAAGATAACATGTGTGTCTATCATGTCTATTGTTATCATCGGGAAACCCGTCACCGTATTGAAACATGAACATGTTGAAACATAACAGTCTTTCGTATTCTAGTTTCTTAACTCTTTTTCCCCTATCAGTTGTATTTGCATAGGCAAAAAGGGGGGATTCTACATGTACAGTGTAGTATAAATTATCTACTAAAGAGAAAGGAGAAGGACGGATATAATTGAAATTATTCGAAGTGTGTCTTTAGCATGTTTAGGTTTATCCATTTGTAAATTAACATTCATGCAAAATCTACACTTTAGTAGGGGAAGATATATCCTATGACATTTCATATAGTACCTACATAGTGGATTGCACAACTTATTCATTACGCGGCAGCCAATGAGGATTTAAACGACGCAGACATCGCTTATATAAGAAAAATTAACTACATCATTCATTCATTGTTTCGGTATCATTTATTTATCTGTTCCACATTTGAAAACAGACATGCCCCGTATTGTCGTATTGTCGTATTGTCGTATCTACAATCTTGTTATCTTCTTCTCGAATGTTGTTTCCCTATTTAGACTTATAATCGGGTCTGTACTTACATAATCATCACGACGGGAGTCAGCTGACGAACACGATATGTTTTACCTTCAGGATCACATGAGATAACCTTCGGTTTTTTAGTGTGTTATGTTGGTCAGTCTGTAGCTTTCTATGCTGCGTTTTGCAAATTGTTTGTCTTCTGATCGCTTTTCGCTTTTTGCCATAGCATTTTCAGTTCGTTTTCGACTTATGAGTTTGACTATCGTTTTGACCGCTTTCGCCTATCTCTTATACTTCCATCAATTAACATTGCAAGCTTCGTCTTCGTCTGAAAATTTACTTTCGTATTCGGATAGAAGCATATTAAAAACCAAATCACTGCCTTTTTTTCGATGGAATATACAGCAATCATATTCATATCCTACGGGAACAGAATAAGACTCTTGTGGAACAACTTTTGATATCACTTCTCTGAATCATTCAAACTGCTTTTGTCGTCCATTGTCAAAATTCATTATCGCTGTGTCAGATTGCAATATTTCCGCAATTATTAATGCAGCTTTCTTTAGCAATGTATTCTTCTGACGTTTCAGTCTCGTTGAAATCTTGTTCTTGAATTATTTCCAAAACTTGTGAAACAAGTGGAAAATATCAATGAATTCAAAAAATATTATAATCAAACTTAACTCTGTTAAAAAATTGTGTCTTTACAATAAGTAGTTTTTGAGTAATAAAATTTTCAATTTTTATTACGAATCAAGTCAGTCTCATTATGGGCCAAAATGTTGAGAAAATGAGTATGGGGTACAAGAAAGGATTTTACCAGAAACATGTACATCCCATATCAGTTTTTTTTTCTTTTCAAATTTCTTAGATATGTATTGTTTCAATCATTTATAACAAAGAAGTTGAAATAATATGCTTTTTTTTTCCAAAAAAAGAGAAAAATCAAAAATTTACAAAATTGACAGCATGGTAAATTTGACACGAAAAAGCAACAAACTTTTATAAAACTTTCTTATATTAACACCTACCTATAGTTTTTTTTAAGTCAAATTTATTCAGATTGGTCCACTTCATCTTTATTGAAAGTATGAAAAAAAGTTTAATTGTGAAACTGATTTTTTTTTCATGATAATAGCCCAACAATGGGTAAAAATTGATGAAACATGGGAAAATCATCAGAATTGGGTATTTTCAAATGGCCGTATCAAAAAAACAAGTGTACCACCATATGATTTTTTCTTCACCAATATTTTTTACAGTCATATAAACCCAAAAATTAGGTTGAGAAAAAAAGTTTAATTCTAGAAATTTTTAGCTCTTCAGAGGTGTACATCCTTCATGTCCTTAAACAACTTTTGATCGAAACAACCTCGTTCATAAGTAAACATTTATCGAAGTAGTCGCTCCTGATCATGTATTCATACACTTCTTCCGTATTTGTTGATTCTTTCTAATGTAAACGATTTATAAATAATATATTTGAGAATTAGGTTAAGGCTTTTAGTTTCCATTTATCTTTTTCAAGCCAAATCGTTTCAGCAGGTATAAATATGTTGTTTTAAAGTTATTTGCCTAAACATATTAGCACAGGGAGAATACTTGTGACATCCATCCAGCGACTGCAACAACTTCATCTAGGTCGTATAAACGCTACACCAGTCTACTTACAATATAATATTTATAAGACCTGATACGCCGTGCTGCAAATAATCTAGGAGTAGTGAAGAAACATTTTTATGCTGTAACTACTTAGTACATGGTCGCCTTATAATTGGGTAATGATAATTACACTATCGTTTGACATCATCTTGATAATATTGATATTGTCATAACGGATAGCAATTTACCATAATTGACACTTGAGTTGAGACTGGTTTTTTATAGTTCTTAACACTCACAATTGTAATCGT